ATACTTGGCAAGAAAAGGCACAAATGTCTTGCCTTTTTGCTCAACATTCTCTGGAGTATCGTTCAAATATTTAACAATATTATTTCAATCAAGCACTGAATACCACTCATCAAAAAGAACAATTTTATGTTTCTCATAACTATTCCACCAACTTGACCCTGATTTCTGCTTCTTAGGTTTCGAGTATAACTCGTTGAAAAATAACTTTTGAATAAGGTTAGATTTACCTGCACCACCCTCACCATAAAAGTAAAAAGTTACTGGCTACCAGAAACATCTCATAGATTTATTTAAAATTTCTTTTTGGCGGTTATTAATATAATCTAAATCCTGAAATAATCGATAAAAATGCTATGGTGCCAACTTTACCAGATCCGCTAATATATTTTCTGTTGTAAGATTTTCTTGAATGATATTTTCAACACATGCATCATTCTCCTTCTTGACATCCAAAAACTTAGCTGGTGCAGATAAGAAGCGATAGGTTCCAAATTCCCAAGGTCCAAGTTCACGTCCATTATCAACCCAACGTACACGAGTACATTTCTCAATACACTCAACCGTGCATATGTTACAAATCTTGCTTCGATCCATAAAATCACAACGACAATCTTTAACATGAAGAGGATCCTTACAGTGATTCCATGGCTTTATACTATATACTCGATTATGCTCTGAATTATTTAGTAATTCTTTAGGAAAATTCATAGATTCATGACTAAAAATTTCTTTAGTTGATTTAACTGTTTTACGGTCATTAAACTGAAAAAATACTTGTTTATGCAAACACCCATTCTCTGTTGGTTCTGGCTGACCAGACATATAGGTTACACCTTGAGCTTCCAATTGCCAGTAATCATCTTGTGTACACAGAAAAACATGTTTACAATCGATATCTCGTGCTTTACATAAAGAACATATAAAATCATTACATTCGTTTAACCTATAACAATCCTTGCATGTATCATCCTTATATCGCCAATGATTTTTCTGACATTTAGAATACAAAGGAACTCCTTTTGTTTTAGCATATTGTTTTTCACAGATACGTTTATCTTTCTTAGTAAGGTTTTTATCACACTTATATCTATTTACACAAGGAATACAATAAAAAACAGTGGTCATATTCTGAAGAAATTTGTGATCTTTTCCCATTTTTATTTTTCGCAATGGCGAAATTCAAGTTTTTATATAGTTTTTATTACTTACTATCAATACTTTTTTTATCAACATGGCGTATTTAATATACGCGCCACTCATAAAGTCATGCTCTAATATTCACTAACTTAAAATAGTAAAAATTCAATTACTTTTTTTTTTTTTTTTTTTTTAATATTAAGATGACCACTTAGGCCCCCAGTACTTGGCTTTATTCAGATAAATACAATATTATATCAATTTTCATGAGGATACAACTAGCAAAAATTCAATTACTATAATTGGAATTGTATATTTTTCAAATACAAATAATCAAAATCATCTCGCTTTTCTAATTACCAAATAAATACAAAAATAAAATATTAAAATAAACTCTTCTTATGCCACATCATAATTTATTAGTAATTATAATTACTAATCAAATTATAAGTGATATAAAATTCATTATTTTAAAATATATTTAATACATTTTACCATCTTACAAAAATAAGATCTACACATAGCATCTTACACTATGTCACTCTCAAGACATGTAATAACGAAGGTTCAGCTACTTGAATCTCAATTTTTAGGTGAAATGGACACAAACTCGCGGAGATATCATATTTTTTGTAAACGTGAATAGTCACGTTTTCATAAATTTACCTCCGACTTCAATCACTTCTGAAGGCACTTTTGGACAATGAGTGATTTAGAAATCATAAACTTGTGGATGGGATATCAGACTATCTGAATCTCAATTTTTAGCTTTTTTCGTCTAATATTCGCAAAGATATTCATATTTTTGTCTTTGTTTCGCTCATACATTTTTATAAAATTGTTATTTCAACTTCAATCGATTAGATGACCATTTTCTCTAAATGAAACACACTTTATGTTTTTAATAAAAGTTATTCAAACAGTTTTCAAGAGCTAGGATCTTAATTTTTAGCTTAATTACTTGTATATTCGTCAAATCATTGACGTTTTTGTAATGAGAACTAATGACGAATTTTTTTATTTTTGTTTGTAGGAACGTAGCGATCAATTTGATAACAACAG